CGTTTGGACGACCCTGTAAATTTGTTTCGCCATATTCATACTTTAAACTGTCCCGATCGGATAAGGACCCTTTTGGAATCGGTATTTGTACAGCAATCAAGAAACTTGAGTTGCTTTCAGGCCGGCGCCCTAAGTAAATCTTGCCAAACTTTCCTAAACCACCTTGCTATGTCTAATTTTCGTGAGCGGAAATAATCATCCGGAACACTTTGTAAAAAGATTAATTTCCTCGAAATAAAAGTGATTTAAGATCATTAAAGTTCGAGGTAACTTAGTGCAGCAGTGTAACAAACAATAATAATAGATACACAGATACACGAACACGGACTATTTAGAAAGCTTTTACAAGTGCAGTGAAAAAAAAGGTGATTTGAGTTTTATAGAACATGGTGATTTTTTGGGTTCTTTAGATTTGCAGTCTTATGCCTTGTGGTTTTAATTTTGCACCTGTGTGCGGAAGTTTGCTATTCCAGCGCATATGTTATCAAATTACAGCTGGTGGACGGTTAGACTTCTTTGCTACGAACAATTCGATAGTTTTTCGCTTAGGTTTTTGAGTCATTAAGAGACAGGAAGTAATACAAAAGTTGGCTAGCTTAAGGGATCTTCCAGGCTCTTGTTCACACAAAGTAAATTTAGCAATATTTCTAGTATAATCTATCCACCACAGAACTACTGAGTGTTTAAAATGGCGAAACCTTTTTAAGTCTCCCCAGGTCAGGTCAACCCCACGCTATCACTTAATCGAGGGGGTGGCTTGGGAAGGATATTACCTGACAAAGTAATAAACTTACTTCACCACTTGAGTCACAACTTGCTCTAGAAATGTGTCCTATAGAACTCCTACTGTTCGCTATTCGATTATCCATCAGGCCCTGGATAACCCTATCCTTGATATAAATCTTTATTCGGCGGATAGCGCAGAGCATTTATGAAAACTAATCCGCTGATAGCAATTTGAGCAACTGGAGCCCAGACGTTGTTCTTTCCTACAGCTACGAAATGGAGATCACTATACACGATAAAAAAAATAGTAAGAAGTCAATGTAAATTTAAGAACCACTTTAGCGCCGTATGGGATAATTTCAGGTAAAAATTGAACACATGACAATATCCGGCCTGCCACTTGTAAAAAACGAGTGGTAAAACCTTTTAAATTAAAGGAAACTTGTGTTTTAACAATGTTGCTATTAATTGACGGTCGGATCTACCGAGTAAATTACAAATTAGTTATTTTAACCGTTTTAGTGCTTTTCATCTTGAAAAGACGCTTTCGTTTTCCAATGACAGTGTTTGAAGAAGAAAAAAAATAAATAGCACTTGGCAGCTGTGTTTTCACAGGCTGTCCTGAAACAAGCTATTTAATCGGACTGCACGAGTTACTCAAATCATCAGCGTAGTCGAACAAGTTTCGTTACACCCGAGGCCAAACAGAAGATGTTCCAATATAAATTTATCGTCCTTTGTTTCCTCGCTTCTTTTGTTCTATTGGCTTTATGCCTCGAGCAAGAAGCTTCAGTAAGTCAAGAACTGAATCACGAAACCTCTTTCGACCTCAGAGAATTACGGAGAAGAAAGTTTCCTAAGCGAAGCTATAACCAAATGTGTAAAAGACTTCGCTGGGTCAGGTTTCGGAACTGTTCTTCACGTTAAGTTGTATCAGGTAATACACTAACTTATGAGTACATAGCAGTACTTGGTTTTTGAGCTCTAAAAGAAAATTCACGTCGTGTTGTATTTTTAAAGACAATTGATTAGAATGTTTAGCGTTTTCAAATTCCTAGCTGTTTTGTGAAGTCTTACCTCATATCAGCTTGAAAAAGGTGGAAGTATCTCGTGGTGAAATATTTCTAAGGGAGAGGAATGGTAGAGAGATTTCTTACATAGAATCGGTACCTTAATCGATGGCACAGTACTTATCTATGTCGCCCAAGTATAAAATGCGGTTTTATTTTGATATTTCTCTCCACTATATTAGAGCACCCACAGAAATCTGGAAAAAAATTAAAACAAACAAACAAACAAAAGAATAAGAGGCAGTGAAAGATAAATAGATTAATAAATGAGTAGTATCGCGTGATCAACTCAAGATGTACGGGATTCACGCCGGCGGAGTGCGAATTCGTGGCAAACAGCTTGTGTTTCCTTTGAATGAATGAACTCAGTTTTATTGTTGTAATTACTGGTATTCAATGGAATCGGAAGAGCCATTTCCGATCAGAGTACAATGGCGGATATTGATTGAAATCTAGGAAAATCCGAAGGGAAAATCTTTCATCTGACAAAGAAATGTGTAGGTGGGGGAAACTGTAAAAGGGTTTGTAAAATAAAAAACTGTGCAGTAAACAACACTCTGACGACCACTGAAAGTATTTAGAATTTGTTGCGTGAGTTTTGTCAGTCCTTAATTAACAGCTATAAAATTCTCTCTTCTTTTGCAGGCGTTATTGACCAAGTCGACCAGAGTCCACTAGTCAGTATTCCGGATAATTCTTTGAAAATATTCAAAACTCAAGATTTGCTTAGGTGTCATTGCGAAGAAATTATAAACCTTTGATAAACTTCAAGTAATTACAATTGATGTAGAGAAAATATAATTAGTTTACCTGAAGTTTAGCGAGTGCTGCCGTATTTTTGTTGTTGTTCTTGTGACGAGTTAGCTCAAAATGTCGTTTGCTGTGGAGTGTTAAACTTCGAGAAATTGCAATTGATATAGAGATCAAAATATAATTATTCATATGCAATCTGGAAAACAATAACCCGTGCTGGGAAGTTTTCCTTCTCATTCCATCCAATAGTCGATGTATCGATAAGACTCTTACGTTAAGATTCAGTGGATCAATCTTTGCAAAGATAACAAACAATTCCCATTGCCTACAATGTCCCAGAAGCGAAAGTGCACTGCTCGGGATTCTGATCAAGGCAGAGAGAGAGCCTACGCAAGAGTAGGTGTTCCGATCACACGCAATCGCACAAACCTCAATGATATTTAGCTGGCTAGTAGTTGAAAAAATTGAACTCCAAAATTGAGAAAACTTTTGATACGTCGCAAATATTTGTTGTAAGACCACAGTCTGGTCAAAGTTTTCCCTCGTTAGAGAATTTCCAAGCACCTTGGTAATCCGCACAAATTGCTTGATAATTATCAGGGTGGAAAACCGTTACAACACTTTAAATCAGTTATAAAAGAAGAAACCTGAATGAACTAGAGCGAAAAATTTTATCCAAAAAAAAAAGTGGAATTACTCCTGAAACAATGTCATAAAAGAAACTACCCGCTTAGTTCATGCAAGTCCTATTTATCCTTTTTGGATTTGGAAAAGGTCTCTTTACTGAGCTGTATGTTTTCAACTTGTCAGCCCAATGACCTTGGTATGCCTTGTCGCCGACTCGTCGGAAACTGCGGTATCGAGTTAGATTTATACACCCTCAACTTGAGCATAGTTGAAGCCATGATGACCTGAACTTTGACCTTCAAGTTCTTTTGGAGGTCAAGGTTCAAGGAGATACTATAAATCCTCGAAATGGCGCCCAAGCCTCTTGTTTTCCTTTTTTTCTTTTTTCAGCCTCAATGTTTTAATGGAGCGTGGCTTTCAGAATGTTTTGTTTGTTTCCTTGTAAGTTATCGTGTTTTTAGTAACTGAGGTTAAATAAGCAACACTACAGCCTCTTGCTTTACTTGAATGGACTTCAAAAAAACGATTTTGATGACCCCGATATCTTCATCCAAAGTTGTTTTAAAAAACTGTTCCTACAGCACAGAACCACCTTAATTTTAGACAATGTAACGGCTCTCAACCGCATGTGAAAGAATTAATTGAAAAACATGGTTAAAAGATGAATGTTGATATGCTGATTGCAATGCATTGATAAAAAATGGCGGGCACCGAACTCGTTTTTGAGTTACAGGAACATCAAAGAACGATGAAACATGCAACTCTCCATCTTCTATTTGTATCTTGTAGTCCAGACAAATTTGGCAATCCAAAGGAAGTTACATCCTCAACTGCAGTATTTACACGTTCTCGGTTACGTTTGTGGACATTTACCCCTACGGACCCTACGCAAAAATTTTTTTTTCGTCCGGAGATTCTCTGGTCTCACTTGAGTGATTTTTAACCGTAGTTTACGGGCATTAGGGAATAAGCTTCTAAAGGCCAACAGCCTATTCTCTCAAGTGTTTGGTTATTAATTTAACTTGTTTTTGGGAATTAAAAGGAATATTGCCTCAAGTTCATCCAGATAATCCGACGGATGTATGACCACTCTCTGATGATTGCGTTCATTCACGAATAGTTTCTACTACTACTTTGAGTGAGTTAGTACTGTTGAGTTCACAGCAAAGTCATCGTTGGTTATCATTAGTTTTGATCAGCGCATACTGACTTTCTCTTCCAGTGGATGTATTTGAAGCAGTTATTTAGAAACCGAGATAACTGCCTTTCCGGTGACGTATTGACGTCTTTCTCCGAGATATCTGAAATATGGAATACGCAATTACTTTCACTTAGGTCAATTATAACGACTGAGAATTCAATGGAAAACACATCTCTTGGTACCTCAGATCGGTTTAAGCTTACGCCCAGGACTCACACCCAGAAAATATTCGCCTTTCGTTATGATTTCACCAAAATTTAACACTTCCTTTCGTGCATTAAGTCGATTTTTCCTAGAGTACCTTAACGACAATACCTCGAGTCCGCCTTCTTGAACTCTATTTTCTTTGCAAGTTCGTGACCATCGTTTACAAGTTTTATAGTTCCCACTGTTTAAGTTTTACCAGATCTTCGCTGAAACAGTACAACAATTTTGCGAAGAAGTCTTTTAGAAAGAACTGATATTCCGAAGGAGAGCCATGATCTCACTCCTTTGCAGAGTCTCCTAATGTTGTCTCCGCAGAACCCAGTGAGTGCAGGCGGAAAGGAAATGAGCGTGAGATAACCAGTCGAGTGCAGCTTTTCATTTTTCTTTCCGACTCATCTCTCACACGATTTCCTGCATTCTTGATGGCGAAAATACGTCTGAAGCTTTATTGAAACAACAGAAAGCAATGTACATTCTACAATGAAAACTTGATACATTGATCCAATTTTCGTTTTCCCTGATTACATTACGACCTGTAAATCTCTACAATCCAATCACGATCATACTAACATACCACAAGTTCATTTCCACTGTACTTGTAGAAATAACGCACGAGATATCTACAACAATAAGAAATTCGACGTCGAATGGTATATTTACATCAGTAGAAAACGATACAGTCGGTAAGCCAATGATTATGCTACATCTTTCCATCTCTGCAAACAGCTCAAAGCTTATTTTCTAAGAGCACTTTCAGCAATATAATCAGTTTTTGAAGTTACCACTTATTTTTGGGACACTTTCATTTGCAGCAGTTTATAAAAATGATATAAGTCGGTAAGGAGTGTGCCACTTTTTTGTTCTTACCACATTTTGACGTCATCTGTGATCTATTACTGAACAAACGCACTGCAACTTGGAATCTATTTGTTTTATGTAATAAAGAATTAAAAACGTTTTAATGATGACGTCATCTATACGTCTGTCCTCCAATAGATCATAAGTGAGAACCAATCAGAATGCGTGTATAACTGAGCTTATTATATAAAACTACATGTATCCGTGTAATGTACAATACCGCTATGGAAATGTGATCCAGAACTTAAAATATTGGGAGGCTCCAACAGAACCCTATGCTGAGTAATTAGAACTGTGGTCCTTGGCTCCGGCCAACCCATATTTGAACAAAACTCCTTTTCATGAAAATATGTCTAAATAACAAAATATTACAGTCAAAGTCCATACAGCAATACATTGCATCTCAAGCCAATTTTAAGATATTTACAGCATGTGGACGCTTGATAATTTTCAGTGTACTTGGAAGACATAAATATTTATATTCAATTAAATATCAGTCACACTTACTTAAAGCTTCAAAATCATTCTGGAGACAAGAGTTTGTCTAGAACATGGTCACTCATTGAAAACCAGAATTTCAAGGTAAAATGTTTGTGCATCAGTGCAAACTCTGAATGAGAAACACACTGCATATAAATTATTGTCTTTGTTTCAAAAGCTCAAAGTAAACTTTGATTTTGGGCAGTTCAGAATCAGTTACATCATGTACAGTTTACATCCTAAATATGCCACAGACAAGTGCAACATTTGACAGGTTCATAGCAAACACCACGTCTCTCTCGTCGGTTGAGAACAGAGTCAGGCCAAAGGTAGTTTACCAACCAGAATGGCAGCATGATGATGAGAAATCCTACCAAAAAGTACAAGTAAAACACTTCATTCAGTTTAAATTATGACAAGATAGCTGTCTGCATTATTATGCTCTCTCAAGTGGGGCACTTTGAAATGTTACTCATCAGATGTGCCTTGTGGCTGAGCAATGCATCTCTGCAGGCAACAATTTAAAACCTATTTTGTATATCACCTCTTTTCAATGAGCTTAATCTAATTGGCCCCACCTTTGTAACTATATTTTTTATAAAAACAAATCTGCTGTTGTCACCTCTGCCAGAATAAACAGACATTCAATCAAGTCAATAATTCTGGTAGCCTTCAATTCTTCCCCCAACCTGTTTCAGTCAAAGCATTTTTAATTAAAAATAAGACACCATACAGGGGCTAATTAGAGTTAGTCCACCCAAAGACTTGATGTGCAAAATAAAACCATAAATGTACAAGTATATTTTCATTTGCCTACCAGTTGAAAGAACTGAGAATATTCCTAATGAAAGACACAAATAATACAACTCAGGTGAAAACTCCTTCTGAAAAACAAACAGATTAAATCCACATTGGTAATAATAACATACAGTTCTAGGATGTGTAATATAAACAATAATTAATATGACACAATGATTCATCCAAATCCAAAAGGATGCATGTATATAAAGCCTTGTAAATTGCTACAATTTCCACCCTAAAAAATTTTTTCCTCCTTGCCACTGCACACTTAAATGATAACAAGTAAACCAACTTGGAACTAAATGCTACATGGTGAATGTATATTCTCCTCATTTGACTTCCTTATTAAAATATATTTATAAGCAAAAGATTACTTATAAGGTAAAAACTTTGGGTTAAAAGTCAAAATTTCTTCTGATTTCAATACTCACACAATCTAATGTGGCTAAAGTTGAGGCAAACAGGACCATGCCAAGGATTAGAGAACCAAATCCAAAGAAATGAAAGGCAATTTTAAGCTGCCAAGGAACTGGTTCCATTATGGCAAAGAGAAATGTGAAGGCTGAAAAACATAAATAAGTATCAAACACTAAAAAACGTTACGCTGTCTTCTCTATTATATTTAGTTTAAACAACTAACATTATATATGAAATAAAGTCATAATTTGACTTGTGGATGGTTTCAAGTAACAAACTGATCTTATCTGCAGTTAAATGATTTAATATCCAGTATATAATATTGGTGATTAGATATGTTTGTGGGGCAAAAGATCAGATGAAACATTGTCTCGCTCACAACATAAGACTTGTAGTTCAGATGATAATAAACCTCAAGTGGGAAGCAGAAGACATGGAAGAAAAATTCTAGTTTGCTCATCCTTTTTCTACAGTTTCTGCAGCTACAAGTTCTTTCATTCATATCATTTTTTAAATTTGAACTAGAGAAATTACCCTTTGCATGTAACTCTTGAATCCTCATCTCTTTCATACTGAAATAATCTGACTCAAATCATTCTCAAAAGGACAAACTAGATAATCGCTTTTAATCTACACCTTTTGTGAATATACCAAAAGGTTTGACATTTCCTCACCTATCATAGCAAATGTGAAAACAATTCCTGCTACAGTGATGTTTAACAGAGGCTCATCACAGAATCCATTACCAGTTTGCTCTCTACCATGATGCAAAAAAAATATTTACATCAACCAGAAGACAGATTATCAGCACCATAAGTAAAGTGAATAAACTGATTTTAAAAATGAATGCACAATTAGTCATTATCAATCTCAACAGGGCTTGCATCTTGACATTCAGAGACAACAAGGTACATGAAACACTGTACAAAATGATAATTTTGAAGTTGTAAGTAAGTTGAGATGAACAATAAGTCCAAAATTTAGTTTACATAGTACCAGGATAAGCTGATAATGTTGCTCTACTTTTGTCATTTGCCCTGTCATGCACATGTATGTTACAAAGCTGTGCATCCAGTAACACAGTGTTTACCAAATGTTCATGAAAGATACAGATATAAGAAGGTAATAATCAGTTGTAATTTTTTTTTTGCCGCACTGTATTTCTCTGACCACAGGAAGACTTTTAAAACATTTGCCATGGCCAAGAGATAAACGTGCACTTAAAAGTCATATTTTGCATGACATGTCAAATGTCCATCATCTTTCTTTATTCAAATAATAGGCATGAACTACTATTGCATTGTAAGACAGACAATTTCCAAATAACAGAAAATTAGTGACAAACTATACCAGTAACAATGATGAGCACATAGCAGATGATTAACTCAGAACTTTGTGTGAGTCTGATACTTACACTTGAACCACATAAAGCTGTGGTATAATAAATGAAAGAGCAAAAAGTATCACAGTGATTCTCCTGTTGAGAGAGGAAGTAGTTTTGATCATAATTTAGTCAAATATTTTAACCATGATTCATTCAATATTCAAATTATTTTAATTACCGAGTTTGTTTTAAAGGTGCACATGCTCTTGTCAGTCAGGGATTAACTGACTACTACACCTTTTTGTCTTCATATTTCCCACAATAAATAACTTAAGACACAGCTGCTCTTTTAATGGGGAAACAAAAGACATGTCAGACATTTCTCCTAACTTCTTGAGCACTAAATGGTTCATAATAGAACAGAGCATGCCTCTTTATCTGGGAAATGATATTAGGTAATATTTCTCAACCAAACTTTATTTTCCAAACAAATAAATGTGGGTCATTGGTCATCAACTTATGAACCCCACACTTGACTGGGACTCTATGCGATGCCTAACCTTGTCAGCACTAACTATTTTCAATGATTGACTCTGGAAAGCTGGTCTACTAATAAAGAACAGATTCCCCTCCACAGGTGTCAACTAAAACCAGCACCATACAAACGACTTTTTCTCCTCATTGACACCACAATTGAATGGAACATAACAACCTAACTTAAGGAGTAATCGAAACTGACCAATCACTACACTGCTTGAGTCTTATAACCAATAACATCACAGCTGAACTGACCAATCAGTTTACACCAACTACAATCAGTATATTTGACTGACAAGACTCTTTACATTACTCTGATGATTAATTTTGATCTGGTCGTCCAAATATCAGTCACTTCTACTAACAACAGTCCTTCTCAGGACTACACTCACCACACTCACCCAGGCAATCAGAATATACTGTCACATGTTACCCCTGGGTTCAAACCATTAACTGAAAAAAGTGTGGCTTGATTGTGCAGTCATTATTACAGATATTGTTAGAGACAGACAGACCATGCTTGATGTTTTCAGTGGTATTTCAGAGATTAACAATTAACATATCTCATATATTTTCAGAAGCTTAAATTTTAAGCATGCTACAAGGAAGTACTATATTGCACTTTAAAAACTGTTAATGCCTTTGTCATGGACCAATCAGGAGTGAGATATCTTGCTGAGTATATAAATGTAATAAGTTTTTTAGGAGCATGCATTTACTCGTCATCAAGCTTATTATAACATATGTACACCTACAGGCATGTATCTATGACATTTTTCTTTGAAGTGTCGCAACGTTTGGACTCCCTAAAAGCTTGGATAGGACAAAATTCATGATTTTTCCGCAGGATGTGTGATCAGCCAGCTAAGTGCAAGGTCTTCGTGCCATTGCACAGCTTGACTTCGGTTTTAACTTAAAAGACGAGCTATCGAGTGTAACTACTGCCATAAGATGTCAAAAAAAAATGATCCCTCAGTTCCTTATTACTTACACTTTTCCTCGCGCGTCTTTAGGAAACCACCTTGTAAAATGGTAAGCACAATGAGCCACAAAGTAATACCACATTTTCCACTGACGTATTTGATCTGTCGTCTGACTTGAATGGCTCAAGCTGAAGATTGATCTACAGATTGCTTCTTTGATCAAAATGTCGACAAATCCTGCATTTCTGACTACAGAAAGCGTATGTGTTGCATGTATAGAACTTGCATGTATAATATATATTTCTCACACAATCGCGCTAAAATATTTTGGTTGCATAGGAATTATTTACGTCCTCTTAGAAACAAAACAATCCCGGAATTTTACCACCGTGTTGTGTCCCACAATTCCTCACGTTACTATTCTAATGTTTCTTTTGATTGGCGTACGAGGTAATGTTTGACTTCTCGAATAATTTTCAGGCCACAGACACGAACATGCAAATTTAATTCTGGGGAGATAACTTTTCGCAGACTAAGCTCGAGACGAGACCTTTTTTATGAGACCTATTTTAGAAAGTTTATGCTTCCAAGTCGTTTGTTTTCCCTGAGAATTAGAGGACTGGGTTCTAGATACCTGTGCTCATCCAACATGGCGAATTTGAAGGGTAGCGCTCTGCTTATTTTGGCCGAAGGTGCAGAAGAAATGGAAGCTGTCATTACTGCGGATGTTCTTCGACGCGGAAAAGTGAGCCATCGAGCTTTGAACTTTGTTGGTTTATTTAAACCATTTTGGCGACAATTTCGAAAATTCCCGGGCTAAGGGATCCTGGGGTGAGGCTGGGAGGTAGTGATTTATAGAACTGTTAAGTGAAGCAACGATTCCGATATTGTTGCATTTGCAGCTGTTATGACAGAAGTATAAGAACTGAAGAAGAGGCTAGTTCGTTATTAAATTAGACTTTTTGAAGTCAAATTTTTATGTGACAACTACCACACCTCTAGTTGAGACACTTTCCCAGAGCAACGTCCAAGGTGTTAATTTACCCCTCTCCCCCTTCCAACTTTGTTAATTACCAATGTGTCTATGCCATCTTGCAGGCCAACATTAAGAGAGGCTGAGGAGGTAGTAGGTGTCCTAACAAATGTGTCTGGGTGTGTAGCTTGGGAATTTCAGAAGTAACCAAATCTCTGGTGTTAACAGCAAGTTCTGTATGGTTTTCCAAATCCTTTTTCAGACCACCAGGCCTCTCAAGTTTGTACCCTTTGTCAGACCATTAGGACAGTGTAGTTGTCAAGAATTTGTTGAATTTGCCCTTATGTTCAGCACAGATACAAGAACCATACATGTAAAAACATAGTTGTTGTGACAAATCTTTCTCTATTAATACGTACTAGTTAATATCCAAAACTTGTTCCTCATGCCCAATAGAGCAGCTTCAACAGTTTAAGTAGAAACTGATAGCCTTGACTATAAGCCTCACCCACATATGTTATTTACATCTTAGATTTCCTTGCTGTTTTCTGGAAATGTGAGACAGTGAATACAGAGTTAATTTAAAATAATGTTTTTACTGTTTGATTTAAGTCCAGCAGAGGTGAGGTGAAGATTACTTTAAGAACCCAAAGTTTTATTAAAAATCAATTGTTAGATGACATGAAAAACAGAATGAAAGCAGCACTTAGCTGTTTCTCAAAGTCCTCTTCGAGAAGAAATGAAGTTACACAATTTATATTGGAAAAAACAATGTCTTATGCAGGTTAAAACAGTAATTGGAGGTCTGACTGGTGCAGATTCAGTTGTTTGCAGTCGCTCTGTGGTTGTTAAACCAGACATGAGTCTGGAGGATGCAGTTAAACAGGTATAAATGTTAGCTTTAATGTTTTTGTAAGTTGTTATTGTCATTGTATTGGGATAACTTTGAAAGAGATCAAATGAAAAGAGAAATGAAAGAAATTAGGAAAAACTATCCGAACCCTCAGTAGGTAGGCAGGGTACTAATTTTAAGACATGGTTTGATGCTTCTCTGGTTTAAAGATTTAGTAACCTAGAAGTTACAATTCATAGACCCAACATTTCAACACTCCTGTCTAGTGCCTTCATCAGGGGTGATCTGATGCTATTTATTCTATTCCTTGCAATGACTGTGATCATGATACGTTTGAGAGAGCATCAAAAAGCGGTCTTCTTTTGCAGAAAAATGAAAATTCAGCTTTGTTGGAGTACACATATCAAACCAACCATACAATTGGGTGGGATAGGTCTAAAGTTATCACCACTAATTATTGATGTTACCACCAGCACCTTTGCTTGAAAGCCTGACATATCAACTCCAACCATGCTCTGATAAATCATGATGAGGGTGGCTCACTACCTGATACCTATTTACACCTTGTCAGATAAAAGGGCAGCTAATTAGTGAGCTTATAAAAGGACCTCTTGTTGCAGCAATTAGATGACCCCTTATGAAGGCACTAGAAAGGAGTGTCGAAACATTGGGTCTATGAATTGTAATTTCTTGGTTACATTCATCAAATCTTTAAACTGTAGTGGCATCAAATTTTGTCTGATTATCCACCTGGTTGCCATGTGAAATTTAATATATCGAACCAATAATTGTTGTACAGCCTTCTTATCCATAGGTTGTCCGAGAACTTTGAAGGAAGAAGCTTTTTATTTGGAGGGGCCGGATGGCTGGTTTACCATCTGTTACTTATGAATTAGGAAAACTAACAGTTAGGAGAATGCAGCCAAGCCACAAAGTACACAGTTAATATCACCAGCTGCCAGTTATTTTTTGCAACATTTTCCAACCTTGTATATCAAGAGTTTTTTGATACTCTCACTAGATTTTGCTCATCAAATGATATAAGATGTAATTCACTGAATGTGACAAATGATCATCAGTCAACATAGAGACTTGCAATGGCCTAACCAGTGTTTTGCTAACCTATATTGTATTAACCCTGTTAGGGTCCATTTGATGCTGTAATTCTGCCTGGAGGACTAGGAGGATCTAACAATCTGGCGAAGGTACTCATACATTCATCTCTTTAGCATTGCATATACAGAATGTTTAAATGATAGTTATCTCCTTTATTCTTGTCATGATCAAATGATATTGGAGGTATAGCCATTGCAACAGATTGATACTGATACTTTAATGAAGAAATGTAAAATGGTTTCCGTGTTTACATAGCTTGATGTAAACACACAGGAGGTTGGGAGAACACAAAATAAGCGTAGGAAACCACAACGCGAAGCGGAGTGGTTTCCAGCTTATCAAGTGTTCTCCCAACCTCCCAAGTGTTTACATCAGGCTATGTAAACACAGAAACCATTTTACATTTCTTTTATAAAATAACTAATGAAAGAGGAATGAAAACCGTGTTTATATATGCTCATGTAAAATGCCAATGCCAATGCCAATGCCAATGCCAATGCCAATGCCAAATGCCAATGCTAATGCCAATGCCATGCCAATCAGAGCGCGCATACTATTTGAATTATTTTATAATGTTAGATAATAGTCCATACATTTGATGTAAAATCAGGGTCATTCCTGTCCTTCAGAGTGTAACATGTTGGAATACAAATATTTATGAAAAAATATCTTGAGCAATAAATTGGACTATGTGTTGACCACACTATGGGAAGTAACAGGATTTATATTTTACCTAATACTTTGAGTATTTGTAAAAGAATAAATGCTTAGTGAAGTGATCATTTTCAGACATTTCTTGGCCTTCAATGAATTATTTCAAGAATCATGATTTGAAAGCTATAGCTGTGTACAGTTTTTGATTCTGGAGGTTGTCCTGTTCAGAAGGAAAACTGAATAAGCAAGAAGCATCCTTTCTCTAATGGGCTCTGGCTCCCCTAAATAAACACCCACCCCCTAGGCCATAATTTCTCACAAGAGCCCCCTCAAATGACCACCCTCTGTTCCTCCCTTACTTTTTGAAATAGTAAGGATACAAGGAAAACCTGTCTCTATTGCCAATTGATTTATAACTTTTTAACCTTTAATACAGCAGAGTCAGTGGAGAAGAATGGTTTTATTTCTGTTCCAGTCATTTCTATGTCCATGTGCTTGTAGAGTTTCCTTATTTGGGTTATTAGTTCTTGTGATTTTTGTCCTATCACTGTGCTAGCTAAATAAGCACCTGCTTGATTTAGAGCCCTCCTACAGAAATATGGTATTTTCACCTGTTAGGTGTTTGGTTGGTTGTGTTAAATCACATTTAGATACTTTCAATTTGATCAATATTACTTGGATTACATATTAAACAGCATTTGTATAGCTTAGAGGGAATAACCCCCCACTTGAGTGCCATGCATATACACTGTAATCATCAGGTAATGATGATCTTGTTTGGTAGTCTTCTAAAGTTAAAGAAATCCTTCAAGATCAGGAACAAAGTGGAAGAATTATTGGAGCCATATGTGCAGGTAATTTTTATCAAAACAATCAACAGGATGGGTATAAACAGGAACCCATTACCCGGAGCCACCATACCAATTGTACCCTTGAGTCAACCCTGTCCTGTATCTTTTTATTTTTAGAGCTGAGATACATGGGGGGGGTGCTTTAATTTCCTGCGAAAACATGCTGATGTTCGCACTACACCCTAAAAAAATGATTGGCTAGTATGTAAACACCCATGAAAAACCCCATGGGAGGTGCTTCTAAAAATTAAAAGATATGGGACAGGGTTGACTCAGAAGGTAAGTATGGAAGATGGAAGCTCCTGGATAATGGGCTCCTGGTATAAATAAATGCATAAACATGGCTTACTACCCCAAAAATATGTAAATCAAGAAATTTAAAAGAACTTTTCACTTTTCTGTGTGAGTAAAGATGCTATGGCCTAAATTGGTTACTGGCAGCACTGCAATGCTACTTCCTCTTCTTCTTCCCCCCCCCCCCCCCTTCCATCCAAGGTACAGCAAACTGCCTATTGGGAAAGGCAAACAAAATGTCAGGGGGAGCAGCTTGCAATAGATTAGGAGTAGCCGTACTCCTTGTCACCTCATGCCACAGAAACTAGGACAAACTCCAGCTTCTTGAGGGTCATCAGGGTCTAAAGCAGACTTTACCTTTTTTTTTTGTTTACCACCCCCCCCCCCCCCACCCCTTCCAAAATAAGTAATCTCAGACAATTAAAAAAGTATGTGGAGTAAAAACTCCAGGTAAACTATGTTGTATTTGCCTCTTCAGCTCCAACAGTTCTTCATGCCCATGGAATTGGAAAAGGGAAGACTGTAACATCACATCCATCTGTGAAAGATAAATTGGACGGTAAATAATTCATTTATTAGTGCTAGTTACTAGTAATATGCAATGTATACCAGGTTATGTATAAAAGTGCAGCTGGTGTTTTTCAATTTAAGACAAGGAAAAAATTAAAATACAACATGTGCACACGTAATCATAAGTCTTGTTATTCAGGTATGACAAACTCACTTGTAACTTCTCAATTGGTTTTTCACACTGTTAAAAATGACTAATGAAGTCGTCATTTGATTTGTCAGGTTATAGCTACTCTGAAGACCGGGTGGTCAGAGATGGAAACTTGGTAACTAGTAGAGGACCAGGAACAGCCTTTGAGTTCGGCATTGAACTTGTCCGTGCAGTGCGAGGTGATGATGGTGTAGCTGAAAAACTGGCAGGCCCCATGCTGATTAAGTAGTGTAACTACTGAGTCCCCTGGAAGAAATAATTGTGTTTTGCGTAAGGCTTGATTTCAATGTTGTGGATTAATTAATTTCGAAATTTATAAGTTATCAAGTATTCCCTCTTTACTGTAACTCTTGGAAATATCACAACAATGACAGGGGTTGCCGGCGGCTTATTGCTGCTTATGAGACCTATTACCGCCGTAATGTTAACCTACGAGCAATTTTGTGACTTTCATGCCGGGGTAACTAAAACATCTAACTGCTGATTAATGATTATCAAATAGGTAGATCACGAACCGTGGGAGAAACAATAAAGAGATGTGACTGAAGTTTGGTTTTGCACCGTATTATTTGAGAGATTTTTGTCATTAATTGTTATTTTTATGAAAGCAGAGACCTCTCATTTCATTATTTTTGGACTGATGAATAAAAGAGTTATGAACCTGGAGAGTTATTTAGGGTGCACCTCTTTCCATCTACATTATGAATAGTTTGTGCAAAAAAAGTGTTGTGTCACAATTAACAAGGATTTTTTTTAATATTAAAAAATGTATAGCTGTTTTGGCAGGGCGAAAATGTGGCCGTTATAACCAGATGGCCAAAAGGCGGGTTTCCTCTGCAGGTGAAACATCTTGAAAAATCAAAATCCCTTTATATTTTGTCAGAGTATACAGTCTACCTTTTAGCAGCTCAAAAAAACGTGGTAGGATTTTTTTCCTTGTACTATTTTAAATATTATTAACCGCAAAACTTAGAAACGTCACAAGCTTAATTGTGTCCAAGGCCTCTTATGACTACGTAATCTTGCCTTCCAATGAAATTCTCCTTTTCGAATGTGCATCATAAAAACATCCGTTTAGGCTTACATTATTGCTTGAGGTTTATCGAAGTACGTTTACTGAGAAGTGTTGCCTTTTCTTTCATCATTTTATTAACAATGTAGCGACAAAAACAACACACACGGAGTTGCTAAACACTCCATTGTTAGTAAGCAAAATAATTTGTTTTAATAATTTTTTACAACAGAAAAATTGCAGCAAACTTATTTGTGATTCAAGTGATATCGAGGGACCGCGAATATATCTCCATTGTCTTCGATTTTCTTTCTCACGAAACAAATTGTTGTTGTTTTTTTATCTGTGCGGATTAGCTTCATGGTTAAAAATCGTATTTGGATCTCTGGCTCTTGCTAACATGGGATGTTGACGTCCGAAAAATTTGTTTTAATTATATTCTCATCCCCTCCTATCTCACAAAGGTTAACCCTCGTGAAACCAGCAGTCGTTTTTCAATTTTGTTCCAAAATTTTATCAGAACCACATTCATGACTCGTGTATCGCCCGCTATACGAATTTTTGGTGTCAGGAAGTTGAACAAAGGAATGGTTGCTAAAAAAAAGTGCACCGATCAAAGAATTTTAATACGCAAATCTCAGCAGTTCCCGAAGCCCTTCTTTGAAACGAAGACTAAAATCTAACACCACTGTCAGCTTAATGTGAGATTTTCCAAGGAAAGAAAAATGAGAGAAATTGATTTCAGTTAAGGCAAACAGATTACACGCTGTTGTACGTGACGTCAAGATGTGATACCCGAGGCGCAACCGAGTGTGTCATTGATTTTCTTCCCACTTTTGATATCTTCTGTTTTCTTTTAAGGAACAGACTTACTGCAACTTAGAATATATTTTTTATACAATAAAGAAGCAGAAAAATTTGGTAATTGTAACGTCATCTTAGCGTCTATCCTCCCATAGATCATAAGTAAGAATTAATTAAATGTATGTATCATTCAGCTTATAATAGAAAGATTATTTTAAAATGAAATAAACACCAGAAAACTTTATAAACTATAGATTTGCAAAACCTCATGCATGGATGAATTGGCTACTTTTGATATTAGTCAAAATTTTGAGTTTTATCTTAAATCCTACTCTGAGTAAGAACCAACTGTTTTGTGAATTTACTTACCATTAACGATGTGATTCAGTATAGCATATGAAATCTTTTTTTTTTAAAGAGATGTTAAAACATCTGTTTTTCTTTACTTCAGTATTTGCCAAAAAAAAATCGGTCGGAAGTGATCACAAGCCAGTGTTGGAGTTTCCCTCTGAGGCTTCATTCTAATCATGACGTAAACAACCAGACACTAATGTGCAAAAAAAGGAAAAACGTCAAGTCCATCCGCTAATGACGTAACCACTATGTTGACTTTAAAACACCTAGTGGCTGAATGTCTACTCACTGCTTCCGGTGGCAATGAACCCGTGACTTCCGGTAACAGTAATCGTTATTTTTGGTGTCTCGGGGCCTTTAAACGAGCTAGATATCTGATGTCGCGCGTCTAATCCTTAAGCTATAGTGTTGATTTGGGCCCGTGTTTGGTTATGACCGGGATCAAAGACGCACAGGCGTTTGCGAAAGATGATTTGACAGATGGAACGAATGATTTTAAAACTCTTAGAGCAGGAAACAGACAGAACGGAAGCTAAAATCAACTTGCGCTGCCTTGTCCTTGTCCGCCTTGATTGCAATAATGATTCATTATAAAATTCATTGCATCTAGTGTTAGGCTTTCAGAAAGAAAGGATATATAGTACTTACTGCAGAGGAAATGGTTCTTTTCGCGGTTTTGCCGTTCGATTCGGGTGAGTAGGAAAACACTTTCCTTCCCAGTCTCCCATAATTTTTGCGGAAATGCGCATACTCTGCCTCCATAATTTTTGCATTGCGCATTCGGTTGCTACCAAAGAAGCCAAAGCTCTGCTGTTAGTGAAATATCTTAGCGTTTCACTTCCGATACTTTAAAACATCTATAATGCTGTTTTTTATACCTCAACCGCCGAGAAAACATTTGCTTCAGTCGTAATGGATGTTGTTTTATCAGTCGTTACGCCTTGAGGGATTGTGACAAGTAAGTTTGAAAATATTTTTGCCTTCGACGATTCATCGAATTGTTTTGTTTTGGGGTAGTCGGTCCTGTTTGTTGTTTTCATCATTTAACAAGAGTATTTGTCAATTCGCTCGTGATATCGGCCTCCTTAGGCTTTGAATATAATTAATGTTTCAAAGTGAGCATCACCTTACTTGAGCTACTAGCGAGATCTTCCAATCTCTATCTTGAGTGGTTCAGAGAACGTATTGTTTACCTCAGTTGTAATCAGCTGGCAATTGGACACGAAAATGTTACGTTTAGGCTTCTTCCTTTGTGATGCACAGTATGACAAGAATGATAAATTGGTATGAGTTTACTTTCATTTTTGTCTTGCATTGAATGTAAATGAGCTTCTGTGAAATAGGATTTGGGTGCCTATCGATAACATATTGAAGGGTTATCTACAAACGAGTAACACCTCTAAGAACTTTCCTTATTAAATGACTTTTGTTGTAAGTTTATTTTAGTCTCTAGTCGCCCAAAATAACATTTACGACTTTGTCGTTAACCATGTAAATTTGCGACCAAAAGATCAATTACAGATATTGTGAAGTATACTTAGGTATAGTGTGGACACGAGAAGCCGGCATTCAGTTTCGTTCGTTCCCAGAAAGTGACAATTATTTTAACTTTCACAAGATTCAAAGCATCAAAGTCACCTGTCGGCAAAGACTCACAGCAAACAAGGCTGTGCTAGGCTATAATGTCACAAGTTATATTAGCTTGCCAGCGTAAAAAACAGAGATCATAGACAGTATGTATCAATAGTTCAGTAGTCTTGACAACTTTATCATTACTGACAGTGCAATTTTCTATGTCAATTCACATTTACAATGTGGGAATAAAAGCGGTTGGTTCTTTACAGATTGTTAGCTCATAGCTTTAACAATGCTTGTTTTGTCCAACATTGACCAATAAATGGCTCAGTCCACATGTATTTGTTTTGGCCATTTCTTGTGGTTCTGATGCAAAAGCTTCAGTGTAGAATTTTAGAATGAAACAAAGAGTAAATGAAATCTGTGAGGTGTATAGACATGAGTTAAATGTTCTCTGAAATTGGCATTCCTGGTACCATGTAGAGAAATGAATAGGTGGCAGCTATTTGAAGACTAATTTGTCACATAACAATACTGAAGTGTGAATTATGTGAGTAAGTGGTTTACTGAGAATTGGTAACACTGTTTAAAACTGTGAGAGAAAAATTGTGAAATTGACATCAACATAAAAATTGTTGCTTATAGAAGAGCTTTATAAAGTAATGAATCCTAATTGTTATTTGAAGAGTTGAGTTCCCCTTGTTTCAAGAATGCTAAGATGTGGGATCATTCATGGTCTTTCTCTAAATAGAAAGAGACAAAGTTTTCAACAAGTCAAGACTAAGGTTTTCAGAATTATTTCTACTAAGTGAACATACTTGTCTGGCATGTTCATTCTATTGAACACTCTAAGGTACAGCATAACCCAGGGACAATGAAGTACTAGGGGACCAAGGAAAAGTGGTAGCCTCTGTATGTTATATTGAGACCCTCTAAGCATTTTACTTTTTTGACTGGAATGGGAACTGATGTTATTTGCATTGCAAGGTAATGTTTAGTGAGGACTTTATGTGTTACCTATGATTTAAATTATATATTTTATGTCAATAATTTTGTTATTTTAATCATTTGTTTTGCACATTAAGGGAAGGTAATGTATGGGACTTGAATTCAGGAGTTGAAATATTTTTTGGATTATCAGTTAACTTCCACTTTTTGTCCCTCTTTTTTCACCAAAGTGAAACTTGTTATAGGATAGATGAGTAACATTTTGTACATAATATGTTCACCAACACTATTATGGTCTTTTATCAGGGATGGAAGAAGAAAACAATGGTGGAACACTAGAGGCTGGAGGAAAACTTTCACTTGTCCAGCCTCCCTCTCCCAGGCCTCGCCCTGTGCCCCGTCCACGAAACCAAACCAAAGGACTCAGCAGTACAGACATGAATGGAAAACCTGCAATTACAGCTCCTAAGCCTGTGTTACCTCCAAAGCCGAGACGGCCACCGCCGAATGCACCAGCTGAAAAACCACTGGAAACAAATCAAGATGTTCCATCAAACAACAATAATGATGAGTTACCAGTCGTTAAAGGATGTTCAACAAAACAACATTCAGTAACAGAGAAAAGTAAAGACAATTTAGCGTCCAATAAGGTAATGACTTCTGCTGGTATCACAAACAGCACTGACACAAAACATGTTGAAAATGGACCTGAAAAAGTTGACTCCACAGACGAACAGTGGTATCAACCTTTAAGACCAAGGCAAGGTAGTGATGAGTCAAGCTCAGATGATGCTTATGAGGAATTACCAACTGCAGAACAAAGTAAAGAAAGCAAAGCTACTGCCTCAAGGTCAGTTGACAAGAGTGAACCCCTTAAACCCTAACATCAGTATGCAATATTCTCCTTACCATTCCCGACTTATTTCTTAAGATGATGACTAGGAGATGTTGTTTAAGAATCAAGAGCTTCTTTAGATGGTGATCATTTCCTTTATTCTTGTGGCCTGAATGGATGATTCAGGGGTGATATTGTAAGGAAAACTTACTAGGTGCTAGTCACTCTTAGGGGCTAGGGGTTAAAAGGTTGAGGTGCATCTGAATAAAACTAAAAAATTACGAAAAATCTTCCTCTGTAAGGAAACTTGCAGTTTTACCTTTTTTACAGTTTATTTTCAAGTTTGTGGTACCTTTATTTATATATTAGAAATAATAAAAAACTGTCCTCTAATTTGTACTTATATTTTATCTCTGAGATTGTGTACAATAAATGTAGTCAATGCAATTTAATGGAGTTAACAACAAAGAACATCAGCGTTCTCTAGTAGTCAGCAGTTTTTCACATATGCGCATGCATTGGAATTCCATGTGCTCTTCGCTTGAGGTGTTCTTGAATGTGGTTTGAGTGTGAACTTGCAGTGTTGTGAGGAGAGCCACCTCATCTTCCAGGCAGTTTTCCCCACCCCTTCCCTACCTCTTTCCACACTTTATTCAGTGTGACGGGTGCCTGTTTCCCTTTCCTGTGAGGGGGCTCATGGCTGGGTTGCCAGGATTTGCCAGCCATGGGAGAAGCCTCCATCTGGGAACTGGCTGCTAACAATGGAAGCTCCTGGATGTTTTAGGCACCCAACCTTCACTTAGTGTTGTGGTTGTTAACTATATTTTGATTGCTATAAGAGGAATTAATGATAAGATATTTACATGTATGTACTTAAAAATTTAACATCTGCATAAAAGTTTTCTTGAATTTTCCAAGAAGTGATCAGAAAATAAAACACACAATTTGTTTCTTTAAGAGGTATTAATAAATCTTGTATTCAATTTCCAGGCCTGATGACCCAAGTAGGTCAGCTGGGAAGTCCTCCCCACCTGTACTTCACAAAGTTAGCAACAGAGACATTAAAGTATCTCCACCTGTCCAACGTAAAATCAGCAACATTGCTAACAAAATGTCACCCCGCCTCCCTTATAAAACTAGTGGTGTGGCAAGTGTAATCTCCCCACAGCATCCTCCTCAACCAAATGACACAAGACAACTGAAAGCTGTTGAGGAGAATATAAAAAATACTAGAAATTTTGAAATTTCAAGTGCCGGTGAGAAGTCAAAGCCTTTGCCACCAAAAAAGCCTCTTCCTTCTTTTCCTAAAGGAATAGGTACTACTGGTCAAAAGCCTGTAATGGGTGAACTGTCAGCAAGTAAACCACACTTACCACAAAAACCTCCCCTTGAGTTATCTTCGTCACCTAAAACTGACCAATCACAAAACTCTGTTGCTGCTCTCGCTCAAAAGTTATCAACAATACCTGTATTTCCTTTCCGAGATGACAATGGCAGCAGAACAGGAGGGGCTGTATTTCCTTCACCTGTTGCTTCTCCATTGTCCTCACCACGCCCTTCACCTCGTAACATCACATCAGGTGCATCCCCAGACAAGTCAAAATTGAAATCTGCGACAGTAATGGCAAAGGTCAGTGAAGTGGGAAAACCTGTACTGTCCTCTAGACCTGGAACTTCACTGCCAAAATCACAAAGTCACGTCACATCTCCTCAACATGGTAGGGATATTAACAGTTTTTCACTTTTATTTGTGATTATAGTATTTTTCTATGATAGCATCTCCATTCAGTAAAAAGCATAGTATGCTTTTTACACACCTGATTCTAGTTTTGTCCTAATGCATGGGAAAGTTTGCATCAATTAGCACAGTTTTCCTTTGTGACCTAATTCATAAAAGGAGTAAACTGAATTGTGAGAGGATTTTACAGAAGTGGGGTCCACAATGCCTACAGCTTGAGACTATGGTTGGAATGAAACTATTGCTTTTTAACCTACAACCTATTGAAATCTATGTTTTACATCTGGCGAATAGGAAAGGAATCAAAGAAGCCTCGTCCAGAGCGACCCATTCCTCCATCAGCAGAGGCTGTTGCAAGAGTGAGGTCACAAACACTGGAGAATCTTGAAGAGGAGGAAAATTATCCCTCAGATGAAGCTGTAAACAAGATACCTGGTTTGTTTCTTTGTTCAGATGGTTCCTTGTTATCAATATTATCAGTTATTATCAGTTTTTTAAAAACATGAGCTGAGACAGTTTGACTAACTTTTGGAATATCATTTGAAGGCCCTGCTAGGAAATCATCTTTACCTGAACAACGCAAAAAAAGATTAGCTTCTCGTCCTCTTTCACGGCGTCTAAGCCCTCATGTTCCTTCAGCTGAACTTGCACAAGCCAGTAGGCGGCCTCCACCTCTTCCACCAGGAGTTAATCCTATTATGGAAAAACCAGCAATACTGAAAGTGCCACCATTGCCTGCCATGCCACGCCCACGACCAATGTCTGCGTATCAACAGACAGAGAGAGATGCTTTCAAGCCCACTTTGGGCAAGACTGTATCAGTAGGAGACATACCAAGAGTTACATTAGCTGAAGGTAATGATATATTGTTACCCTTTGTGTTCATCTTTTGTCATTGTTACTTTGTGTTATCATTCACATTCAAATGTCTTTTCAAAGTTCTAACCAAGCACTCTCTGCCACACATATATATAAACAAAGTGTATAACCAATAATTTCAGCCTTTCTGCTGAAATTTGTAAACCAGCCCCATTATGGAGAGAAGCCCATGTGAAGGCCACTACATCCTCTTGCTCTCATTTCTTTCCTCATACACAGGGTTTGAGCTAGGATTTGATCACTGAGGGACAATTTGTCCCCCTAGCAAAAATTTTGGGGGACATTTTTATTTTTAGGGGGACAGACAAATTAATTTTTGACAATTGCATTTTTTGCTGCTGTCAGTCGTCTTAATGGACCTCTTAGGAAACAACTTTAACGGGTTCAAAAAGGTGATTGTTTGTGATTTGTGATTGGTGGATTTCAATCCATTTGGTGTGTTTCTGTGTTTCAAGGTTCGTTGCTTGTGATCATAATTATGATTGACAGCAGCGAAAAATGCAATTGTAAAGGCAGCTTTTGAACTTTAGAGTTCGCATGTTTGTGAAAAGGGCAGTAAAGAGTGCCAGGTACATTCACCATGCTTGGTTGAGCATGAGACATATGTGTGCAGTAAAGCATGACTGAAATGTGACTTAAGAATGAACTTTAAACGTGTGATAAAATATATTTTCCACATTCTGTTTCAGCTTGCAATTTCTGTACTGAAACTCTTAGTATGTGCTTCTTTTTGAGTTTTTTCCCTAAATTTTGAAGGGGACAAATTGTCCCCTTGGCCGTTTTTTTTAAGGGACAATTTCAATTGCAGTGTGGGGTTGGCACAATGGCACAGCCTGACTCAAACCCTGCATACGTGTACTTATTTCCCAATGTTGCTTGAGAAAAATCTGAGTTTTATTTTAGAGAAGAAATTGTAAATCTTTAATAGTCACAGCTTGTATGTATCTTTGCATATCTCTTACTAGATCAATCTGAGTACTCCTATGCCTATAACCATACTTCCATTGGAGGGACGCCACCCGGGCATGTGGTATCAGAATGTATTCCACCCAACCCACCCTCATTTGTGGCAGACAATGGTGCATATGTCACACCTGATGAAAATGTTGTCAATGAGTTTATGCGGGATATTTCTGAGGAGAGTACATTGGCATCTTACGAGGTTGCTGATGAGCAAACTGTTGCTGGGCTTATGAGCAGTTTAAAAAGGAAGCAGACACTGAATGGATTGACTGCTGGTAAGCTGACATATTTGTACCATGATAAGGGAAATAAAAAAGTTAACATTTGGTGCTGTGTTCATCAGCCCTAAAAAGCAAACCCTTACCATTGTTTCAGTGACCATAGGGCTGTAGGCACACAGGTGGCTAGAAGGGAAAGTGAAAACTGGTGATACAATGTGCTTGGTTTATGTCATCATCCTTCTTTTCTTGTGGTTTTGATATCAGGAATTCCAAAATACACACATTTATGAGTTATTATCAGCTGTATTTCTAAGATGGACACTTAGAAGTTGAATACTGTAACAGGAACTTTTAGCTATAAATTATTTTGTGATGATTAACAATGGCTCTATGGGTACTAAGTACAGGTTCATATAAACTGCTGTATATTCAGACTGACTCTGTTTTACTGTGTAGGTGCCTTTATGTGTTCAGCTCTATATCCAGACAAGCAGTCTTGAACACTTTGTTTCAGGAAATTGAGTCTATTATGCCATGATTTACTTATGAACCAACAGTGTTGTGACATTTGAACATGTTTCATGTAACAGATGTGAGTACAGATGACACAGAGACAGACTCGTCTAACAGTGATGGTCATGAATACTTGGAGCCACCCTTGGAACAAAGTGATGAACAACTAGATCCCCATGATACCGACGATGATGACGGTATATATTTCCTTTTATTGATAAAAGTACATAATTATTTAAATAGTACGGTGAAATATGTCGGAAATGGATTCACTGTCAATTATCAATGAAATGGATCCACAATCAATCAGCAATTTTCTTAGAATGGCCCCACTTCATATTCAGTTTCTTTCTCTTTGACCCTCAATTTACTTCCTTGAGGCCCTCTCTTCTTGTTTATGTTTTTTTTTCGTTTTCGTAAGATGATAACAAAATGATATCCTTACTGCTTTTGAAAGGCACACCTTTTACTGCAGCAACTGATGTATTTCTGGTTACTTTCTAAATTCCTTATTTGTTTATCAACTTATAGCATCTTCAGAGAACTCATTTTCATCAGATTCATCACATGAATACTGTGTTCCACCTGAAAACCTTCGTCCTCCTGAGCCACCTTCAGATGGAGATGAATATCATGAAGTAGAAGGAATTTATGTGGAGGTAACACACAAACATTGCAATGTTGAAAAAGTGGCCACTAACTTTCTCTTGAAAATATTTAGTTAGAATAACTCTCTTGCTCTTATTTTCCAGCCTTCTGTCAAGTCTCCAAGGGACCCGTTTTCTTCAGGTACAGATATTTGAAAATACTTAATGTTGCAGCATTAGAGATGTGTACACTACAAGATGACTAGTTAACCCTTCAACTCCCAAGATGGTTAATTATTCCTCTCTAGCTGCTACAAGTTTCCTTGTAAATTAGTTACAGAAAATTTGGTGTTGGATCAAGGTAACAGGTAACAGGTGCCTGCAGTTAAGTTTGAGTATAATTATTGTGTGTTCACTGGTTAATGAATTTATATTATTGGGAGATAGGGAGAAGTTGAGTGCTAATCAGCTCTGATAGCTACAGGGTTAAGTAAAATTATCAAAAGTTACTAGTGATTTGTCTAAGAGCAGAATTTATTTAGAACAAGTTTGAAGGCAAGGTTGATTAAGTTCTTACAGAGCTGTTATCATTGTATGTATTGTAGCTATAATGTGAGCATATTAATCATATTGTGAGAAAAGACTGATCCTTTGAACGAAGTGGGGTTGCTTTTTTATTGTGGTAAACTTAACAACTCCTGATCCACCCTCATAATAATAACAATTGTTATTTGTGATAATAAGTCTTATAATTTCTGTTTTAGACGAGGAGAAAGACAGTCTTTCTGAGGGTTAGTGAATGATGTGCTTTGTTACCATGCATGTATGTTCTTGGCTCTTGTTTTGATATGAGCTACATTTGCATTTTGTTAAATGATTAAAGGAAAATCTTCATTAAAAAATATGAAATGCATAGTCATACACGATTCTCAAGTTTTGTTTGGAAACTCCTCTGTCTTGGTGGTAGGAGTAGCCCAATGTAAGTAGGTTACACTACGTTGTTGTTTTACAGAGCCCCTGTACCAAGTTTACAACAGGCGCACTCTCCGACGTGAAAGAAACCTCAGCCGTCGTAGACTGAGCAGTGATGTGAGTGATTTGTCAGTAAATGATGAAGTAGAGGAACTAACAAAAGGAACAATGAGAAACATGAGGATGCTATGGTGTGAACTACCACAGGTTTGTTTCATGACCACTTCATCATCAAGTTTACATGTAGCCAGCAACGTGGGCGTCTTATTAGGGCGCCTTAACGTTATAAATTTGGAATTGTTTATCCAAATGGCCATTTTGATTGACTTTCACTCACTGGTAAAAATTTATTTCTCATCCTACTCTTCAACTGCCATAAAAATCAAAGATGGCTGTCACAATTTTCACCAAGAGAGTACTTTGAAATTGCTGGCCAAAATTACGCCTGCTTTACAGGCTATGTCAGATTAGAAATTTAGTGATAACTAGATTTAACTCCTAGATCACTTGGACATGGTTGTCTTCATAGATGTGTTAAGGATCATGGGTGTAGGTAAGATTTTCCAGTAAGAAAGTGGCTCATAAACTAGCTTGGAATGGACTTGTCCTTTGAAATTTGTTCTATTAACAAATAACAATTTCTCAGTTCTTTTAACTAAAAAGGGATTGATAGGGACATTTGAACCGCCACTGAGGAACACCCTTAAAAGGAAATACTTCCGTTTTGCTTTTGGTTGAGCTATGTCTTCTGTTTTTCTCCTGGACTCTGATTTCACTGTTGCATTTCTCTGTTACATGGAAAATGTTCAAATGCTAGATCAGTGTTAGTTTAGATTAATATTTTTCCTTGTCCTAGTAAAGCAATTGTTATTCTAGTCACTTTGATAATATTTCTCTCTCTCTCTCTTTTTTTTTTTACTTTTCCATCAGGTTAAAGCAAGCGGAATTTTAGACAGCATGAAATCAGAAGAACGTAAACGCCAAGAGGTTTGTTTCACTGCGCTAATAAACGCAATCTGTAGAAGTGTTAGAAAGACGGGTTGGGTTCAGTAGGACTCTACTTTATATGTATGAAGAGGAGAGTGGTATATATCAATACTTGGAAAATGAACCTGCTTGGGTGAAACGAACCGTTCTGTTTCACAATTGATTATCCAGTTAAAAATTATTGAAGTAAGGGCCTTAGTGGCGTTATTTGAGTCCATTACGGAGACAAAGTTGTTGTATTGAGAAACGTTTCCAACACACTTAGGTACAACTGTAAATATTTTTGTCTTTGAGCCCGTTGAAATACTGTACTACCTGCTCCGCAAGATACTTGTGCAAGGCGGAAGTCCTCCTCTAACAAATTTTTGGTCGTTGTATTACTCCCATTTGTACTTACCATCAAGTGCCCAATGTTTTTTTTTTTTGTAGGCCATGTTTGAGGTTATCACTTCAGAGGCAAGTTATCTCAAGAGCCTCAACATTCTTAGATCACACTTCATAAACTCAGAAGAGTTGTCCTCTGGCTCCTCTCTGTGTGTTCTAGAACGAGGCCAGTCACATGTGCTATTTTCAAACATCAGTTCCATTAAAGCGATCAGTGAGAGGTAAGTTTGGACTCAGGGTTTGACATTTAGACAGTTACTGAAGTGGTGCCCTTCGTGATTCATAGTGTAGTTATTTTTTAGTACTTTCTAACTTCTTGTAAACGCTACGGCGGCTGAGGCATGAAAAAAGTGCAAATCCCTAAGTCCATGTGCGTCTCGGGCTACTCCGCTTCAAGTTGACAATAATCGTTAAGATATTGGAAAGGTTCTGAACAATTCTTCGGGAACCAACTTTCTCCTACGCGGGAGAAACCTGAGAATAAATCACAATGAGGCTGAATCCAGGGTTACAGTGAGTTTTCCAGCTAACAAATACTCAATATCTTAGTTTCCTCCAGGCCCTCCGAGCACGTCAAAAAGAGGCTGTGGTTATATCGTCTATCAGTGACATTATCGAAGAGCATGTAAGTGAAATGAGCCGTCCGCTTCTCAAGATTTAAAACAAAGTTTCAGAATTTACCTGTTTCGACTGTCTGAAAATAATTTGTTCAGCACGCTCATCGTATGAAATATTTCCATACACAGGCCACAAGATATTTCGAAGTCTACGTAAAATACTGTTCCAACCAGATCTATCAGGACAGAGCATTAAAAAATCTGAGGTAAGTATCATGATCTGTTCTCCATTTATCGACACGTGTTGATATGCGGTTTAAATTAACTGGATGTCGGAAATTTTCGTGTGCTTTTTAATGGGATTTTTAATGACTCATCTTCCCCCAGCTATCGTTTTCATCGACTTAATGGTGCTGTTGTTGTTGCAGGAAAAATGTGAAATTTCTTGAGGCAGTTTCGAAACTCCAATCAAGTAATCAAGCGCAGGGTTTGACGCTACAGTCGTTTTTAGTTCTTCCCATGCAGAGAATAACACGGCTTCCCTTGCTCGTAAATGTAAGTATCAACCGTTATGATCAAACATCACATGACCCACATCAGAACATGTTAACATACTGCATGCAGCCTTGCTGGATACGACTTCATTTTTCACAGGCGTGTGGTATTCACAGGCGTTGTCTCTTCGGAATTATTCCACGCCCCAGCTGTCTGAATGGCGGTTTTAATGATTTTAGGGTATCAGTAATAAATCTTATTTCCCAGGAGAGGGTTAGTAGCTTCAGCTATCCTAAGTTAACAAGATTCAGGATTGGTCACCCGTTCCCCTCCTCTACCTGGGCTGACGAGCAAGTTGCTGCTGAGTGACTGTCATAGCACTCTACTAACTACATCCCTCTCTTCCAGGCGATTTGTACGCGATGTGAACCAGGTAGTGATGAGTTTAGCAAGTCAGACCGAGCATTAGCTGCTATCAATAAGGTGAATTTTATTACCTGTTTTCGCCATGCTGTTATTCAACATCCAAAGAATTCCTTTTTCGCCATTCTTTTTTTCATGGTCAACAGGTTAATGAAAGACTTCGGCATCGGCTCAAGAGTTTATTAGCGAGTTTTGATCTTTTTCAGATTGTGAATAACTGTAACGAGGGAGCAAGAAAAATGGAACGGATGGAAGAAATTTGTGTTATACAAACACAGATAGAGTTTAAAACAAAGGTGAGAATACGCAACCAATCCTTCTTTACTAACACGTAAGTACCATATCTTGTGTACGATATTTACTTCCACGCAACTGAAATTTACCAAAGACCTTTTTCATCGATGATTTGTTATCAGTACAGTCTTGTCAGTTAATTGTTATAAGAAGTGTTGAATTTTTAAAGCGAGGTAGCATGGAGATGAGAGTGTGATACAATCTGTTTCTGTTTTTGTTTATCTTTAGCCCCTCGCTCTCGCCACGTCATCGCGTTATTTGCTCAGACGAGGTGACCTACTTCAAGTGGTGGAGGACTCTAAAAGTCCATTGAAGTTATTGAGACCCAAGTTTAGACCGTTGTACATGTTTCTGTTCAATGATCTGCTGCTCGTGGCGAAGAAGAAGAGGTACTAACCTAATTATACATAGTTTTTATTATTTCATTTGAAAAGTGATTTGGAGTTCTTTTTCTGAAATGTTTGTTCTAAAACTGTCAGTTGTTATACATATTTTGCAAAGAAGCCCTATTTGAGAATGGATTTGCAACGAGAGTAATTGCAACTTGTGGCTGGGGTCTCAGTCCTCCCGCGCACTTAAGTTTTTGTCCTTTTCCTACGTATGCGATATGTTATTTAAACGTCTTCCTTTTATTTAAAGCCTTGTTGGTCACGCTATGTTTTTTGTTTTTGTCTTCTAGCGATAATCGTTTCTTAATCCAGGATTACGCCACACGCACCATGACCCAAGTTGATGAGGCCCCGCAGGATTGTAGCGTGAATGTTGATCACATGTTCTCTTTGGTTTTATTGGAAAACTCCGAGGGGAAAACTAAAGAGTTTCTTCTTGTTGGAAACACTGAGTAAGTTGTTCACATCTAGTGGTGTTTGTCGATATTCTGTTGTAATTTCCTGGATGAGAAAAATTTCCTGAAAAACACTGTCTTGGTAAGGGGATGGAGAGGGGTCTGTTTTATTTTTCGAATGAGTCATTCAGAATTTGAGTGAGCGTTCAGTAAACCTACCAAAAAAAAGTCATCCACGCAACCGTTTTCCTTTTGTATAAATGTTAAAGCACGGTATCGTACACAACCTGCCTATATCATTCCCGCTCATTCTTTATAACGTTAGACTTACTGTTATATTTCCCAAGGGCAATATTTTCCATTCGTTAGCTTTCAATTCTATTTTATCTTCTGATTGTTCAATTCTTTCTCATAGAACTGACAAGACTCGTTGGATGGAAGCCTTCAAGCCCCCTGTAGCCGAACAAGAAGGAGAAACTGTTTATGCTGATTGGGGTAAATGCACTTGTTATCACCAGTCACCATATGATTTCTCACAATAACATTCATACACCGTAAGGGAGAGAGGCGGCGTGATCACTAAAAAAATGTCAATTGGGATGCATTTTCTTCTTGTAGAAACAATCTCATGATGAAAATTACAGTAAAACTTTTCGCTTTATCTAAGACCCAAGCAATAAGCTAGTTACTAAATTTGTTTACAGACTGCCCCCAGGTGAACGCTCTTCACAACTACACTGCTCAACAACCCGACGAGCTCTCTCTTTACGAAGGTGACGTCATCAATGTCTTGAAAAAACTCCCGGATGGTAAGTAAATTTCCCTTTTCCAGAACTAAGTTTCCTTTTGTTTCCTTTTGCTGCGCCTGGTTAATGTCATTGGCAGTTTACCTTATAACATGTTTGCGTTCTCTGCCAGGGTGGTATCATGGAGAGAGGTTGTGTGACGGAACTCAGGGCTGGTTTCCAGCCAATCATACTGAAGAAATACTGAATGATCATGTCCGGGCCCGCAATTTACGTCAGCGGTATAGACTGTTGGCAGCTTCTCAACATTTAATTGGTGGAACACTTAAGATTTAATTACCCTTGTATTGTTCAAAATTTTGAAGTTTAGTCTCAATTGTATTTCCAAAATTCATCTCTATTTTGTAAATAGTGAAAACCAGAATATTGTCAGATAAGATACATATTTTAGTACAATATTTTTATAGCAGTATAATTTTTGCCTTTTTTTTTACTAAGCTACAATTTTATATTTTTGGGAATTAAATATAATCGTTTTAACTTTATGAAAGCGCATAAATGCTTCTAGAAAAATTGATCCTAGGTGTACAGTTTTGGACTTTGATTTCCCTGCTCTGTTTAATGGTAGGCCCAGTTTAACTTCAATTATGAAATTGAAATGGTTAGTAGAATACAGAATAATTATTTGAAGCGTGGGTATGCGAGGAAGTTGTACTGTGGATGAAGTGAATAGACAAAAAGTCAACCGGTTGACAATTTTATCACTGAGTTTCAAATTCTTGCTTATTAATTGTATCATAGTTCAAACTTTTTCCAATATCCCTTGGATACATGCATTTTCAGCGGTATTTAATTCGAATCGTAATATATATACTTGAACTGAACGAAGTATAGACTTGAAATGAAGTTTATTTTCATTTTAGTTTACTAATTTTGAATCACCAAACATCTTATAATTACTTGTTGTAAGTTAATGGTGAATTTAAAATGATTAGAAAGGAATGTTAACTTGTCATAGTTGATGATGTACCGTACATACGCTCTAAATTAAGGTAAGTAGGTCACATTGCCAAATGAAAGTAAGGTATCGCTCTCGTAACTTTTTTTAGAAGGACTTCAAGTCCAATATACTGTTAAAATTATTTTCTGTGCAATGTCGTCGTTTACAAGGAATAAACATCAAACAAATTGTTATATTTTCTCATGTTTCCATTGTATTGTTTGTTTATTTTGTAACTTCTCACGTAACATCGATTTGATGATCAGGAGAATAACAAAGTTCTTGATTTTAATAGCCAAATTGCGGAATCTGCTTTTGTATTACAAAGAAAGTTAATAAGGACGATAACCCCACTTGGCTCGAATTTCATATACTATCAAAGTACTGCAACTGACTCCTACGAATTCGTAAAGCATTTATTGATCTTTTACTAAAGGCAGGCCATTCATTTTGTCCTGCATTTCAACGTGTTAAAAACGTTCATGATAGCTTGCGTTCCTAGAGTAAGTTTTAAACTGAACCCCCAAGCGCTATGTGAGATGTATTCTCTCTTGTCTCACTTTTCATGAGTGTCCCTCTTTTAATAAATGCTTCCCTCTACGAATACTCGACATTGCTATTGACAACAACTACTCTTAGTGTACCTTTTGTGATGCAGTATCCAGGTATTGTCTTTGATGTATGGTTTATGAAGGTGGGAAAAAGTTAGATGGAGAGTCGTTAGGTATGAAGAAGAAGGGTAAAAAAATGGTAGAGAGCAAAGTCTGTAAGTGTGGATAATGCTATAGCTTGTTCCATGTATGTTTTCCTTAGCTTGAAAAAATCTAGACCTTACTAATTTTCTTTTATCACATTTATTGTTTCAGATTTGGTACCGATATGTAGTCCCCAGACAATGTTACCAGAGCCTTGCAAATGAATTATTACAAAAACACCTTATCGTAGAGACCAGGGAAACGCAAACGTGACCGGGTCGTGGTTAGGTTTTGCATCTGATTGGTCGAGGAAGAGGTGCGACTTTTCTAGACCAGTAACAAAGCAAAGTAAGGTTTTCAGTCACGAGTGATTATGTTACTAGTACATTAACGGCACACGACATTCACGGGACATGTTGATAGTGCTTGCTTCATTTGTTTCCCTTAATGAAGTTTCCCAAATAGAAACACATTTTTCATTTTCAAGTAATCCTTAAACGTGATAACAAAAAAGGAAAAAATTTGGCTCTATGCCCTCACGAGAGTTTGTTTAAGGAAATCTTATGACCTTACATGAAGCAAAAAATGACTGTGCTACACAACACTGACTTATATGCCTGCAGACTCAGTCGGTCCGAGGTCCACACTCATTCTTCCTTCCCTGGGCGATCCTCGACCTCTCTGCGGCTCGTCCCATCGTTAGGTGAAGTTTCAACTTCTGTCCTCAGTTGATCTGTACTGCTGTGGAGGAATTCACAATGGAGAGGAAATTTTTTGTGGGTGGCAACTGGAAGATGAACGGAAGTAAAGGAAAAATAGATGAAATTTTAAAGAACTTGGCGTCAAATGATCTTTCTCCTTCCACTGGTTTGTTTCATACCACTGCTGTTAGGGCCAATATTTACATTGTCTTGTTACAAAAGTATTTAGCTGTCGTAATGTTTTTCATCACAAGTAGTCAGTAATGAGTAGTCGAGTTTTGTAAATCAAATAATGCAGTTGCAAATTTTTCTCTGTATGTTGAAATCTAATTTAAAGACGTCTCGCATAGGAGTTCATGCGACTTAGTTGATGTGTTGATAAACCCCACATGACCACGAAATTGTTTGTTTGTTATATTTTGTGGTCGTATTTACTTTTGAAATAGTAAAAAACTTGGAGTTATTTAAGTGTCAAACTTTCCGCCCTTTTGAATGGGTTGTCTTCATTCCCCTCCAGGAGTTTGCAGACAAAAATAGGATTTCCTGAAGGGAAGCTAGAAGTAATTTTTATTATGATTAAAAAATGTCCCAAGATATTTGTTTTGAGATTATTGTTTTAAGATTAATTTGATATTGATACCTTAAGCTTGTGTACTACAAAAAAGCACACTACTAACAGGTATTATATTGTTGTTGTCTAAACAGATGTTGTAGTTTCTCCTCCTTCTATTTATCTGGATTATGTCTGTAAAGCAGTCAAGGCAGGCATTAGTGTTTCAGCTCAGAATTGTTACAAAGTGGCCAGTGGAGCTTTCACAGGAGAAATCAGGTATTAAAGAAGAGTATTAAACCTTAGAGAAGAAATCCTAAGTTCGTAAGCTATAAGTCAGCTGTTTGAGTCACCAAATGGTTAACCAATAAAATTGTTTTCTGCAAGCTGACATAGGCTCACATGACCAAAGTGACATTTAGACAGGAGATAGTAAAGTGGCCTGTTGGTGAGTGTACTGGACTGCTGATTGGAAGGTTTTTGTTTAAGCCCTGGCCTTAAACAATACCTCTCTCTATATAGTGATGTATTTGAGTACCAGTGAATCACCAGGAGAACCCACTAAAAGCTTGGTTAACCTGTGATGAACTAGTGTCCTATGAAGGGTGATTTGTAACACAGTAGTACCACTAACTCAAAGTCACAAGAGAAGCAGAAAAGAGTTTGAGTTATCAGAGTTGGTGTTGAATTCTAATTGTCCTTTTAATAGTTGATATGAGAAAATTTTATAAAAAGGGGTTCTAATCCAGGAGAAATTTTATAATATGCTGAATTGCAGTGCATTTTGATTGGTTTTTTATTCAAAATCCATTGGAAAACAAACATAGATGATTTCATCATTGACAGTTTTTTGTTTCTTTATTATGTATCACAAATAGATTCTGTGGGTAATAGATCACAAAATATTTCAAAATGTGACAAGAACATTGGTGAAACAATCTGTGCCTTGTGTGCCACTTTTTTGTTTGTACCACAGATGCACTGCAACATGCAATCTATTTGTTAACTGTTTTGTTTAAGGGAGTTGGATTGAACCCAGTTTAAGTAAGTGGGGTTCTATTTTACTTTTAGTCACTTGATGACTCAGACTTAAGTTTAAGATGGCCAAATAAATTCTTAACCCTTTCACTCCCAGTAGTGACCAAGACAGAATTTCTCCTTAAAATATTAACACAATCTCAAGTGAACAAGTGATGAGAATTTAGAAAAATATCAATTAGAGGACTATCATTTGATTCAATACCAAATTCTATAAACGAAAATTATAAGCAGTGTATGGCAGATAGTGGGGAGAATTACTAAAGAGATCATGGGAGTGAAAGGGTTTACTGTAAATTAAGTCAGTTGACATGTTCAGCTCAGGTCTGAGTCAGCTCTAGCCTCCTTAGTGTTCACTTTTTTAATACACTAAACATATACCAATAAATCATCATTTGATGATTTTCCTATGATGAGTAGCACAATCACCATGCCCATAGGGGGTTGACTGCAAACTTTCAATGATTTCTTCTGTTTTACATTTTCATTGAAGCCAAATCTTTGCTTACAGGTAAAGTTGTTCTTATTGATTATAGTAAAAGCAAAAAATCAGAAAACCACATTACTGTCTTTGAGAAAATACCTGTGAAAGATGAAAAATCAAGCCAATTTTGGTTGTAACGCGTAACACAATCTCAGTGGTAAAATTTTTTAAATACATTTTTCACTGAAAAGAAAGCTTGTTTGAGCAAACAAATTACACCTAATGATAACACACAATAAACACTACATTTGAGCAAAACTTTGACATTTCAAGTTTATTAAAACGCATAGAAAAGATTCATCATTCTTAAGTATCCTTTGTGTAACGCTGGGTTTCAGAATTTGGAAGTACACCAAGTTGTTGTCCACAGAATGACTGAACTGGAATCCTGTGGGAACAAAAACACATTAACCAAATGCTCATACTTGGTGTTCTAAAATAGCGAAAAATCAGTCTAAAGGATTGACTATAAACGGAGAAATATTAGTGTAAAACAGTCGCTACGGTTTTGTAAAACCTGATTACGCAATAATATTTTTCATCAACATACCTGCTCCTTCGCTACTTTACTTCAAACACGGCAAAGTCGGGTTTTGAAATTGATAACACTTCAATGCTCATAAGTTTCTCTTGTCATTTCCAAGTTTTCGGGTCCATATCTTTAGAAACGGCCAAAATATTCACTTTTGACCGAGTCGCTACGCTTTTTACCATGTTGACGCCATATTGAGAACGGAGTCTCGCCACAAATGCCACCAAAAGCGCTATGAAATCTGCTGTTTGCTCCGCCATTTTCACCTTCATCTTTTCATCTCCATGTCGAAAATAGCTTGGTAACATTTCCTATTTTGGTTTCTGCAACGTTATCAAGGGTCGGGGGTCTTCAAGCTCAATAATTTTTCTGAGATTTAGCCATCTGTAAATATCGCTTCAAGTGCGCTTGACAAGAGGTATGGTTAACGAAAAGGAAGAAAAGCTTGCGAGGATCAAAGAGTGGAGGAGGAAAAAGCAGGAAAAGAATAGGCTAAGGAATCTAAAATATAATGAAAAGAATCGCAAAAAGAGAGCTGAATTTCCAGAAAGTCAGTTTTTAGAGTGCCAGTTGATCTCGCTAGGTAGATACTAGCCTCCATGTAATACAAAATGTTATTATTTCTACTTTTTACTGTGTCAGTGAACTCGAAATTGATTATTTGTGGAAAAGACCACACCCACAAGGGATTATGGGCAAATACAAATTTGAATCAAATGTGACAAAAATAAAATAGTTTGAAATAAATCAGTTGTAATAGTAAATGTTAATTTAAAACAGACCTAAAGAAGTGATTTTGTCCCAAACTAGCAATTTTCACATTTTCCATACATGTTACAGAAGTGGGTATGGTGATTGTGCTACTCATCTATACTTTATATAAGAACTGGGATAAATTTATTGGCTGTTCATGAGATTACATTACATTTTTCACCTTTCAGGCCTTGACATAGTGAACTGCATACCATACAGTCCTAATAACTGCTATAATTTCATCATTCATAAAGTTTATCATATCAGATATACAATTTGTATAATGTATTGGGGTGGAAAGTACATATTTCATATCTAATGTTTGTAAAAGTAACCAGATATTAAATATCCATTTTAGCCCTGCAATGATAAAAGACATTGGCTGTAACTGGGTGATCATAGGACATTCTGAAAGGAGAAAGATTTTCCAAGAGAGTGATGAGGTGAGAGATAAGGAAATTATCTTTGGTAGTTGTATGGAATGTGCTTGCAGGGAATAATATTTGGTTAAGCACTGCACACTTAATTTCTGGTCTCAAGAGAAACAAGGAGAGTCTCTCTTGATAACTTTTTCCAAGGGAACAAACTCTAGAGTGTGAACATAACTGAACAAACAAACAAGCAGTAATAAAAAAAACAGCTGTTTTGTCCATTTTCCATCAATTACTTCACAAAACTTGCCCATATGTTGCAAAATGTAAAACAGAACCAACCCAAAACCCTTAAAGAATTTCTGGTTTCCCATTCTGTTTTTGTAATCACAATGATGTTCTTTTCACACAGTGATAGGCATATTTTTTTCTTTGCATGTGTTCCATTTTGTTCCCAATTTGATGGCCTTGTTGATGTAAACTGAGGGTAGAAAAATAGCATCTTTGCTACCAAGTTTGGTAATTTTCTGATCACATGCACTTCTTAATTTGGTGCATTCTAAACAGGCAACATTTTCTGGTGATGATGTAACAGGCTAAAGTTTAGTAAAAAGCATTTAAACATGATGCAAGAAAACAATGTTGGCATGAACAATAGTTCCAAAAGGATCAAATATTTACAAGCTAACATCTAGTTATTTTTGTGTGTAACTGTGTTTTCTTTAGCTTATTGGCGAGAAGGTTGGTCATGCACTATCAGAAGGATTAAATGTGATAGCCTGTATTGGAGAACTTTTGTTGGAGAGAGAAGCTGGAAAAACCATGGAAGTTGTGTCAAGGCAGCTTAAAGCCATTGCTGGTGTGTGATAATCTAAACTTTTACTGTTACCATTGTAATAATACTTCTCTGGGTGACTATCTTACAAAACTTCTGATTGTTTTACTCATCTCTCCTATTTGGAAATTCAATCTAAAGGGTCTGGATAGACTTTAAATTTGAAAGCATGTTTTGACAGTTCTTCTGTCATCTTTAGTTCTGAATAAGGCAAAGTACAAAGTAATGGTAGAAACCTCCACTTAATCACCAACTTTATCATGTTAATTTAAAACTTTTCTTGTAAATGCATACATAGTTCTGTTACTATTGTTTGTTTTGTCCAATCAGCAATTTGTTACACACTATAAATTCAACTTTGTATTTTGTATTATTCAGAACTGAAGATGACAGAAGAACTGTTGAAACATGTTTTTAAATTTAAAAAGGGTCATTCATTTTCTTTAATTCAATCTAAAGAGAAGAACCTATTCATAGGGTAAAGATAAAGTCTGTGCTCAAGCCAAGTGGTCCACCCAGCTGTAGCTTAACCCGGTTACCATGTCGCATGAAGCAACAAGGAGCATTACTTCCCAGCCCTGGATGGGATACTAGTCCATCACAAGGTCCATTAGGTTTCCCTAACAATCAGCCTGTACCCATTGATACTCTTGGGTGGGGAGGGGCATTGTGAGAGCAAAGTGTTTTGCCCAAAAACACAATGCATCGACCCGGCCAGGTCTCAAACCCAGACCTCTCAACCCGGAGTCTAGTGCACGCACCATTAAACCATAGGGGGTGGGGATCCATTCAATTTTTATTTTAGGGAAGTATGGGTACCCAAGTGATAATGCCAAAACCCTAGAGGCCACCTGTCTTTAAAGTTTCTTTGAAATCAAAGAATGGATTGTCAGAAAATGTCTTAGTTATCAAATTGCTTGGCCAGAAAGAGGCTATAAAATTTCCAACTGTTTGTATTCCTGGATAGTAGTTGGCTTTCGCGTGAGAGAAAGAGCCTGCCGACAAGATGATCCCTCATTCCAATTTATACTTGCTTTACCACAGATAACGTCTCAGACTGGAATAAAGTGGTTATTGCTTATGAACCAGTTTGGGCCATTGGCACTGGAGTTACGGCCACACCTCAACAGGTGAGGAAATTTTAACCGCCTAGTATGGTGTGAAGGTGAAGGTGAAGGTGGAACTGAACTATGTTCTGTAATTGTGAAGACGTAATAGCTGCTATGTTCTACACCTCCTATTACAGGTGTCAGTAATTCTTGGCATTTTTAGTATGGGCTAACTAACGGGCGCTGTGGACGAAAAATTGAAGGTCTGAATAGACCGAATTGTGTGGAACCTTACCTTTTTTTTTCACGGGATATTGGTTTAGAATAAGAATTTGTAACTTGATAACTCATAGGCTCAAGAAGTCCATCATCAACTGAGAGGTTGGCTTACTGATAACGTTTCAGCTGCTGTCGCTAGTTCAACTAGAATTATTTATGGAGGTAGGCTTTCTAAATTTTTTATTGAACCGTACACAAAACATGCGAATATTTTCTTGTAAGAAAGACCTCAGGAGAAATCCTTCAACTCATAATTGATAAGTTATACTGCAATGATCTTGAGGTTGTCAGTGTTTTTGCTTGGTCAATAGTCTATAAAGCCCTTTGTAACCTATCAGTCCTAAAGCCACGGCTATTTCTAACAGTGCCTTGTAATTCTATGTATGATCCTGTAGAAACAAATGTTTAAATAGTAAGCAGGCGTTTTTGGTCAAAGATGTCCAGGACCTCACGGAAAACTCGTTTGCCGTGTGCAGCAGTGCGCTTGATGTTTGCTCGTACAACATTAGGCTTAATGTTTGCAACAGTATTTCTATCTCAAGAGCTATCAATGAAATATGTTTAAACTGTTAATTGAAACGAAACTTTTTTTTTGATGGAACGAAACTGCTTTGATTTAAAATGAAAGGTCCGGACTCGAAACCTCAAAAATGTCGGCGAGTATGGTGTGTGTGTGTTTTGCGCTGAAGAAGATAGAGCCTGGTTGCTCAAATGTTTTATTTGTGTCAATATTTGCACAGGTTCCGTGAACGCCAAGAATTGTAAAGAACTGGCTAAGGAAGGTGATGTAGATGGTTTCCTTGTTGGAGGAGCCTCTCTTAAGCCTGAGTTTGTTCAGATCATTAATGCTAGGTTGTGAGAAAACGTAGGTTTAGTTTGTAGAATTTACGCTTGAAGGAATGTGGTGTTAAAACTGAAAATTATAGTCTCTGGGAATAATAAAAATTGAGAGTGTTTCATTTATATCGTGCCAATCAGATATGATTACTTGTCTTGGGGTAAAATTTTCAAATAAATGCAATTTAGGACTTGAAGATAAAGGAACACATTTGCAATTCAAAACTAAATTACAAAGAGCCTAAGCAACGCCATTTTTGAGAACCATAACGACTTGGGTGATTGACATTTTTACTGTTTTTCAAATAGCAAACAGACTTAAAAGTCTATGCTTCCGGCATGAGATGTACCAGTGAAGGTTTTAGAAAAAACACCAACTTGTACTTTTGAAAAAGTTATTCTGAACATAGCTGATAAGGCAATCATTGTCTGAACCGTTCTCTCTCAGGATTTTAAAGTTAATTCTCCTGACTAAAGATCAAACATTTCTTTACCTGAGAGTTTTAAGAATTTGTTGTCCTAACAAAATGTGCATCTTTTATTTTATATTTTTCTCAATCCTCATGACCTATCTGCTTGACCTCGTGCCTTAAACATAGGAAGAATTTATGTGCTGATCAGGCATGGAAGTCAACACAGGTTAGTCTCGTGATAAAGATTTCAATTCAAGATTTTGAACCACAGCATTTCGTTTTTATCAATTATGCCGCTTTCTACGGAAATTTTTGCAGTTCCAGAAATGCGTGAATCAACCTGAAGGGTTGCCATTTTTTTCCCCTTGGCCTCTTTGTGTTCATTCGCATACTTAAAATGCAAATCCGTTCTTTTGTTGTCATTTATTGAATATGCGCCGCGTGGTTATAAAACAAACAAATACAAAGCTTCGAGCAGATCAGCGACTACTCTTCACAGAATCTTTCGCTTAGTCGCCGGTTTAGAATGAAACATGGCTTCGCCAGTGAGTAATATCGACCACATTTTCAGTAAAGAGGCAAACTGTCCTATTTGTTTGGAGGAGTATGTTGAACCAAAGGTTTTACCTTGCCTTCACAACATTTGTAAGAAATGTCTGAAAGAACTGCTACATCACCATACGCTGAGTTTTCGCTGTCCAATCTGTCGTGCTGTTTGTCCGATTCCTGACCGCGGAGTTGATGGTTTTCCAACAAATGATTATTTAGCGCGTTTAATTCGAGATTCGCCAGCCAAGAAAGTTATTCAAGAGATCAGGAAAGCAATGAAAGACTGCAGTGAAAAACTTGTAATCGTGCGGAAAATCTATGAGGAGGCTCGCACCGATATGGAACAACAAGGAGAACTAATCAAGCGCAAGATTCGCGAAGATTTTGAGAATCTCGTCGAAGTTCTGCGAAAGCAAGAAGAAGCCTTGTGCGCTGAAGTCGATAATTTAGTCGAGAAAGAAGAGAAGAAACATCCGGCGTGTTTTCTCACCTTGCAAACAGAGACGTTATTGACTCATATCGCGGGTTCCTTGAAATTACGAGATGCGTTAGACGTAGCAAACGATAAAGAGCATTTGTTAAACAGAATCAGAGATGCAAATGTAGCGTGTACCAAGTTGAGCCATTTGCATTCCGCCGCTGAGACAGAAAAGACGAAAAATTCGTTCGAATTTATGGGAAACAAAGAAGTTCTTCAGTGTGTTAGTGGAAACATGTTTGGAAGTGTAGGCTTGAAGGGACAATTAACATCTTCAAACACGTTAATCAGTTCACCTGACTCGGATGACTTGGGGAGCCTAGAGGTTCTTAAACCTGGCACAAGGTTTCATTCTCTTAATATACCACAGCCCTTGAAACGAAAGTTCCAGCCATTTGCAGTGGCAATAAACGATGAAGGTCATATCGCACTTAGTGATCAAGGAAATCACGCTGTGTTAATATACACCAAACAAGGAGAATTTGTGGCTTGTGTTGGTAGACGGGGATCAAAAGACGGAAACCTTGAGTCGCCAACTGGTGTAACATTTCTAACCAGGCATTTGATCGCCGTTGCTGATGGGTGTTTGTTTGGTAATCCAGCGCGGATTCAAGTATTTGATAGCTCGGGTAGATTCACACGCTGTCTCGTTAAATTGACTTCTAACTCTCATTGGTTCACGCGCCTCACTACCGTGAACGAAGAGCAAATTTTGGTCACGTGCACACCTGTAATGCAGGGCCACGAGTCATGTATTAAGGTGTTCAACACTAGCGGAGAGGAACTCCTTTGTTTTGGGACAAGCCTCTCAGGAAAACTACTGCATCCTTCAAAAGCTGTTGCACTCAACAACGAGTTTTTCGTGTCAGATGTTGACAAGAAGAACAATCGTTGCATGGTAAGTGTTTTTGACCACGAAGGCAAGTACCTGAGGGCATTTGGTGAATGTATGCTGAAAAAAGATCCAAACGAACGCGCCTTCTATCCGCTTGTGATTGCATTAGATGCAGCAGATAGCAAAGTGCTTGCATACAGTGGGCTGTACAAGCTGGTTCGTTGTTATATGCCTAATGGTTCTTTGGAGTCTTACTACAGTACACTGTCTGGAATCACGGACATGGCTGTTACTGATGATGGCAGAGTGTTTGTGGTTTGTGGAGGAAGTGGTGAATTCCCTCACAGTGTTCAGCTTATATTCCACTACTAAAGACAAGTGTGAAGCGCAAATGATGTTGTTGCTTGTGTAAAGGAATTTACTTCACACATTTCGCCTTTTATTTTCAATTTTTGGTTTTCCTGATAACCTTTTAACATCCTATGCCTTTTGAGTGGTATCTGTGAATACCAAGCGTACACGTACAGAAAAGCGGAGAATTTTTTTTCTATCAAATAAAAACTTGCTCACGAAGAGATTTTAGCAAAAGGGACTAAAGAGAAAGTGCGGTTACGACTTAAACGCATTTTTAACTTGAACCGCTGAAATGATTCGTTTTGAATTGAGTAAACACGAGTGTAAGAAATCCTGCATTTTTTGTTTTTAAGCCTATAAGGTTGCTTATCCATGCAATATTTGGGTGTTTAACAAAACTGCATTCTGATCCATCTTCACTTGAGCTATAGGGTTCAACTATAAGTTGATGCTAGGAAAAGTTTCAAGAAGGCTTACGACTAACAGTGGATTTACATTCATTTCATGCAAATCACTCAAAACGATACCTCAAGGTCCACTGAGTGTCTGTAATCGAGGCCTAAGTAGTGTACTTGTTGAATATCCGGCTCTTATGTATGTACGTTTCAGATTCCAGTTACTTTATTAAGTTCGGCACGTGCAAACAATCAACAGCGTAGGTTAAAAACATTCAGTTAAGTTGAAGATATTTTTCAGTTATATTATGAGCTCGAGATTTCTATACTTATGGTGCGATTTTTTATAAGAAGATAGCGAGTGGGTAAGCCAATCGGATCGCAGAATATATGATAGAACGCTTGTAGATTTATACTAAATCAGTAGATGTATTTGACAGGAAGGAACTACATCGACTACGTTTATTTAAAGGATACTTGGCCTATTTTACAAAAGTTATCTTTAACGGCCACATTTGGAGCGTTTTTTTTTTAAGATAACCTATCCAAAACAACTTAAGGGAATTTTTATGCAAGGAAAATATTTTATATTTTGACGAATCGCTACAGAAATTGATATTATGTAGGATTCTATTTCACATAATTATTTTAAAACGTTCTTTTGCAAATATTTCATACAAGAAAACGTGTGTTTTTAACATTGTAGTATTTACTGTTTATCCTGTATAAAATGTTAAAAAGCTTATTGTCTTACAGTACAATTTACAATGATAATAGGACCGAGTGGCGTTTGATGCGGTCTGTAATCATACGAGTGATAAACGAAATCGGACGACCGCGAAGGGGGAGTCCGATTAGATAATTACGAGAATGATTATCAACAGAATTGGACGACACGAAGTCCGGTTAACAATTAATCAAAACTATGACAAAATCTGAGAAAGAAACCAGACATAATTTGTACGTTTTCATAAAAATAAAAATAACAACTCGGCGCGCGTACATGACGTGTTCTGTTCACTTACAGGCATGACGTGTTAACTGTCCTATTACACTGTCTAATCATAACCATTACAATTTCTTCAAATGTGATTGGTGCATGAGCTGCTTCATTTTTCACTAATCATGCTGTAGAGTTGTAATCGGACAGTGTAATTGGACAGTTGGCTATAATCGGACACCTGTAATTGGATAGTTGAAGCAGCCAATCATACTTAGTCCTTTCATTCAATTCCACCAATCACAGAATTGATCACAATAACCATAGCAACAACAACTTATCCTAAAAAAATTGTGGAATTTTCAAAGTTGAGGAATTTTTTACGTAGACATTGTCTCTACCGCACTCATTTGTCCTAAATGTATTTTTTGTTTTCGGAAATTGTGACAGTTATGACTAATTTTGTGTTGCCCAATTCTGTCTGTAATCATACTCGTTAATGATAAATCGGACCCCCACTTCGCGGTCGTTCGATTTGTTTATCATTCGTATGATTGCAGACCGAATTGGACTCTACTTGTTCCTATTACCATTATTCATTCATGCATGACTCGTGCACTGTCCTGTTAGTGCTCAAATTGAGCTGGTGATAGCCAAACACGTTCGAGATTTTGCTATAGTTTTTATGGACAAAATCTCTGCCCAACCACCAATAAAGATGCTTTAAATATCCGATCACTAAATCAGCGCAGTGATCCAGCAATGCAGCTCCAATGGTCCTTAAGGAGCAATCGTGCGACGAGCCGCCATGTTTTGCATGTTGTCGTGTGCTATGTTCGCACCCAGGTTTCGCGCGGTCAAGAAACCCTATGAAGCCTCCTTAAGGTGATTCTTTAATTTGCATCGTCAATTATCTGGCTTCGTGCAGGCTCTTCGCTCTATCTTTTTATCCCTTCCATGAACTTTTTTTCAATTTCTCCAATTTAAAGGGAATAATTTGTACACCAAAATTATGCTGTAAAAATATAGGTCGCCGTGCTTGTTCACGACCATCGTACCTCTTTACTTGGTCCATTTATTGGAAAAAAAAAAAAAAAAATACCGCGTTACTCGGAATGCGCGCTCGCTTATTCGCCTGATTACGTTACTTTTGTGCACAGTACAGGATGCACAGTGGATCACCTCAATATGAGCTGTTATAGTCTTAAAAAGGGTAAGTCATCAAAAGAGCCAAGAAGCCTATTCAACCGAAGCATATCCCTGTTTTTGTAGTTTGAAGAGATGAGAAGTAGTACTTTCTCAGCATAGGATACCACTCTACTTCAAGATTACTGTTTCGAAGGGCTTCAAGAAGACAAATGGGTACTGGCTAACTAGCAAGAGAGTAGAACCTTATCCTTCTCATAGCATAGGCATAGGATTAAGCTCAGAATTAGGCTTAATTTTAGGACTTGAGGTTAGGGTTAGGGTTAGGGATGGGATTTAGATTTAGGTTTTTGGCTTGAGGTTAAGACCTCAAGCCAAAAACCTAAATCTAAATCCCGTCCCTAACCCTAACCTCAAGCCCTAAAATTAACCTCAAGCCCCTAAAATTAAGCCTAATTCTGAGCTTAATCCTATGCCCAACCCCCACCTAACGTTTAACCTAACCCCACCCTGATTTCTAAAGAAACTCTGGTGCCGTGTCGGTGGGAGAGTATAACAGGATAATTTAGTATCATCAACTGAGTTGATAACGTAAATTGGCCATTGATAACTTTTTTGTAGCACCTCAACAAAAATCCAGCAAATACAGCGCCGAGATAATTTTTCATGAGTAGCGGAGGGGGTAGGGGAAAGCTACTGATAGACAAAATAAATCATGACTGTCGTGAACGATAACAAAATATTTTATTCAAAGTCTTTTTCCTAAAATCAATTCATGTCCCTACAAAGCATCTTCTATGTCTTCTAGTGCAATCCTAAGGATGTCAAGTTTGCGATGTACCTACCGAAAAAGGAAAAATGTTAGCTGTTATGAAGAGAACACAACGCAACAGTCCAAAGAAATTATCATAATTACAAGCATACAATATGCTGCGTTTGGAACCAATTTTCTGTTTCTTTCGAGATAAGCACGAGCAGAGCATTACTCTGCTTCTCAAAGCTATTTCACACTAACGCCTGTAGAGTCACCAGTGGCAGTAGTGCAATCTTGGATGTCTGCATTCGCCTCTTAGTCCTCCTTACAGGTCTTGGTGATAAAATGCAATCCTTTTAAATATCCTGTCCCGTCAACATGAGTACTACCCTCCTTTAAACTTCTTTCATATTTTGCTTCTTAATTGTTTGTCTTGTTCCATCAGTGGACCTTTGAAATACAAGGAATGCAAGAAATAAAAAAAGACATTAGAATCAAATGTTATGTACTAAAGTTCTCCTCATTTCAATCTCTGATTACTTTTTGCAGGCTATAAATCAAAGGCCACTGTGGACGTAATACTCCCAACAAGTCAAACAAAAGTCACTACCTTTCTTCATATTTCATTACTGCGAAGGTCGCTTTCATATTCATTTTTATATCGTTCTTGTTGAAACATTTAATGAAAACAGACTTGTTCTCACAATCTCTCCCTTTGGAGTAGGTTCTCCAGCCGGGCTACTTCCAAGGTTTTATACGGATTTGAGCAATAGAGGAGTTTAAGGGAAAATGACCACACCCATAATCCTCCTGAATTCCACACATTCCATAACAGCTACCACTACCCTTCCCCCCAAACCTTTTTCGGAAACTAGAAGAAGTAGCAACTTTAAGTGATGGTAAAATGAATCCGATAACGAAAATATATTTTTGAAATTAATTTACTTGGAAACTGTCTAAATTTGGCTAAATTAGCCTCCAGGCCAAAGTGTGAACAGCCATTGTTATAGCGTGTTACCATACATGACCCCCAAAGTATTTTTTGCGGCAAAACATTCTGTCCCCTGAATTTCAATCTCATAGGCATCAACTGATTTCTGTTTCACGTGGTGATCCTCGCTATCTGTCTGCATTTAAACGTCACGGCGTTTATTAAATATTTCGTGATTCGCGTGCGGCGTTTACACGAGGGCGGCGTTTATTCAAAATCCAATTTATTTCTTGCAAACAATGGTGTGGTAACTGACCTTTTTAATTTGAAAAAACACAGACATGTTATAGTACCTGTATAAGAAGTCATTTTTTTATATTGTTCTCAACTCCACAATTTGCATATTAATTCTACTGTAATACATAACGTGAATGAGACCAGATGTCGGATATGCTTTCTCAACATCAGAACTGGTATATTCAAAGAAATTTGTGTCTGGGTCATTCAAAATTTCCAACTGCGATCGAAGCAGTGATCGCTTTTTTTTTTTTTTAGTCTATTATTCTAATAAACCCTGCATCATGGTGTGGCGTCTATTCAAGGCCAGCGTTTATTAATATTTCTGTTCCAAAATTCAGCGTTTATTCGAATAAATACGATGTAGAAGGATTTCCAGCACAGAGAAAAGCCGCAACATCACACGAGGAAAAAATGCGATATTTTCCACGTGTGATTGATATCGCCAATCAGCTTCTGAGACGTCTCTCGCCTTTCGTGCTACTCGGTTAGGTTTATGAATGAACGGCAAAGCCTTTACCAAGCCCAATATTACATGGTTGTTTGTCGGAATTTCCTCGGATTATGGTTGCTAAAACACTGAAAAATCCTTATCGCTTACAGAGAGTGACGTTCCAACTTTCCTAGAAGGGGAAGAAAATCAAAATGCGACCAGAAAAACCGAAAGTTACGTATTCAGTGGCTTAAGTAATGGCAATTCTCGCAACTAAGAACGAAAATCGACTGCTGAAAGATTTGCCACAGGCTGATTTTGTACGATTTTTTAATTTTGTAAATTGAAAATTACGTCCATTGGTTTTGTAATGTTTCAACGAATGTTTATTCGGGGATTGTCGTTCCTTTTATTTTCATCCGTTAATAACGTCGACTTTCCTCGTCAGCAAAGGGCTATTGTGCTTATATAATAAACAAAATAATAGACGGTTGCTTGTAGATATGGAATTTCTCTTCTCGTGTTTAACTCGACATCTCACTCGTTCGCTGCGCTCACTCGTGAGCTATCGAGTTGAACACTCGAAAAGAAATTCCATATCTACGCGCGCACTTGAATTATTCTTTATTTATGAACGACGAGTTATTCGGAGGAATACTCCTAAAATAGATTGGCTGGCCCATTTTGCCGTTCTCTCTTTCATTATGACCTTTATAAAACCCATTTCCAGGTTGTCTTTA